GCAGTTGTCTGCTTCTTGAACAGCATTAACTCTTCATATGGACCATAATTATAATTCCTTATTAACAGCTATTTAGTAAGCTTAAAGGATTTATAAATATTTTACTAGAATTTTAAATGTACTCAAATGATGCCATTTATGTAACAATCGTTTTGAAAGTTTATTTTTAAGTTAATGGTTTCTAATACCAAGATTCGTACCTCTCTTTGAAAGAAACTCATTAAAACAGGCTGAACAAATGTGACTTGCCTTCAGTAATTATCCTGTATCCAGGCTACTGGCCATTTTATATACTTTTCATGAGTCAAATGTTGGGCTGGTACCTTGAGCAGCTACTGTCGCTTACTGTCTCTTCCTTTACAATTCACCATGCATAATCATCTGCTCATCTGATTTGCAGCTTAACAGGAAACCACCGGCATATGAACTTATGACCTCTTATAATTATAAAGGAAATTATATGTAAGGTGTTTCTGAAAGTATCTTCAGATTGTGTCAATTATTTAACTAATTACTATACTATCTGTGGGGATATAGTAGAACTATACTTGCCTCATATTTTTGCCCACCCATATCAGTTGAACTCTGATATATTTGGCCAGTTGTATGAGGGATTGGTGGGAGTCCCAAACCAATTTTGTGTTGATCTGGTATTCACCTAGTGTTTTAATTGCAGCTTGACTGTCTGAGAGAATGTAGGTGTTCTATTTTTATAATTCCTATCTACATTCTTGACTGCGCATGCCTTAATGGCATACGCTTCTGCCCGGAAGACTATAAGTTAAATTATATTAAAAAATTGTATCTGCATAAAATGCACTGTCATAGAAGTGAGTGCCCAGGAAGGCAACTCTTAGTTTTTGTTTTATCACTGTATCAGTGAATTTGTTTAAAAATGCTCCAGATTATTCATAATGGAAGTTCACTAATGAAAATATATATTCTTGTAGAAGAGGTAAGTTTGTGATTTCTTTAATATGCTTCAACCTCAAATATTAGATTTGTCACCAAACATAGTTTTAATGATTTTCATTTGTAAAGCAAATATTCTTTCACTGTTAGGCAAATTACCCAGTCAAAATCATTACTTCCTTCATAACAGAGTAAACAAAATAGTTTTATGTGTGTGTCAAAATTTTTAACATGAAACATTAATTTAATTGCATAACATGCTCCACTTAGCTTAGGTTTCATATATTCAATACATTTCTTCCAGTTTACAGTTCTCAGTTTGTTACGAGTGTAATCCATTTTTGTTACATGGGAAGAGTTATGTGTAACTCAGTATGTGATTCAAAATTGTTTGAAATGTGTGAAGTTTCAGGTTCTAACTTGAATGATAGTTCCTCTTCATTTCAAGGTATAGCATTCAGTCCACTCGGTAGCTGAAACAATTTGCTGCAACCAGCCATTTGTTGAATTGTTGTTTCAGGGAGATGGAATGCTATGTCATATCAGTGGGAATATTAATAATTAAAATTATTCATATGCTTTCTGTCCTCTTATACATTCCATGAGAGTGTATATATTTCTGAAGTTTTAATAGGATTTAATGGGTTTAACCTTAATTTATGCCTGTTGATCAGGTGTGAAGTATAGTACAAAAATGTTTAACACTTCATTACTATTTTGACTAGGAAAAATATTTATATTGTTAAAGTGTATGAATTTGTGGTTCCTTTCTGTGTTTCATATATGCTGTATGCATAAAGAAATGTGCAATAATGAGAAATTTATATTCAAGCAGGATGATTTTATGGCCTTTTTGTTTTTTATTGATCATCAGAATTCTCTTCATATAAAAGTATTTATGATTTTTGTTTTCACGGTACAGTACTTTTAAAAAATTAAAGAATTAAAAGTCATTCCTACTATTCAGATACATGTATGTAAATATGTGCCTTCTGAAAATGATTATGAATAACAGATAAATCTCATTATAATAGGACACTGAAGCAGCAAAAATCAGGGAAGAACAGCTGAAGGCTTATACAGAAAAAATCCAAAAACCTGCCCTGATTGCAAAATCTAGTATCATTCTGGATGTAAAACCTTGGGATGATGAAACCGATATGAAGGAAATGGAGGCCAAAGTCAGAACCATCACAATGGATGGCTTAGTATGAGGAGCCTGTGAGTATCATGTTTTCTTACAACTCCATGATGTCCAGAACAATAATTCAGTTCATAAGCCTGTCATTAGAAAGTACACAAATCCAGTGGATACCGTGTGCTCTTTCCCTGGGGATTGATTGGCTGGCATGTGAAGCTGACCACTCACCTCTAGCTAGTACCAAGGTCAAGAAAACAAGGATCTATATATCCACTCGCCCATATGTCTTCATGGCATGGTGCTTAATTAAGCACAAGGACAACTTTGCCTTACAAAGTTTTTCTTTTTCTCAGCATGAATACCATGTACTGGTATGCCTTCTCACAGTCTACATCGGGGGACATGGTAATGGGCTTTCCTTAGACCAAAGAATGTTAAACATATGGCTCTTCCTCTCTTAAATATCATTGTTACACACCCACTTTCCATTTTCTGGGAACATGTGCATGATGTGAATATTTATTGTTTTATATAAAAAAGACTACTACTGTAGTTTCTCTTAATACTGTACATTTCAGTTAATATTTATCAGTCAATACTCATGTTTCACTGGTGGATGATAATGATTTAACAAATACTATAAATTTGAAGTTTCCTTGATGTGTATGTATTGACCGTCTTGTAGGGCACACAATCTCACTTGTCACTTCACTACATGTTTCAGCATCACTGTGCGATCCTCAGGTGTGTTATTTACGATAAACCATTGCACTGCTTGCCATCATGTGTTGTTTATAAAATGATTTAAAATGTATAACGCATGCAGCCACAAGAGAAGGACACATCACAAGATGTAGTACACACAAAATATAGGAAGAACGACTCCCATAGAGGAAGACTGGTATAATACGTGAGTTTGACATACGACGTATAAGATGATAAATCTTAAAAAATTTTAATATATAAATTTTATTATAGCACATGACGATTATACATTTTAAATCATTTTATAAACAACACATGATGACGAGCAGTGCAATGGTTTAACGTAAATAACACACCTGAGGATGGCACAGTGATGCCGAAACATGTAGTGAAGTGACAAGTGAGACTGTGTGCACTAGAAGATGGTCAATACATACACATCATGGACATGAATCAGTGCAACAGGACGCTAAAATACATCATCATTGAAGTTTCCTGTTTCTTAAGATTTAAAATTGCCTGGAAACTTGTGGCAGAGCTGGAACCTGGTTGCATCATACCTCATGTAGGCAACCTTACAGATGAAAAGTTTTATGCATTCAGTGAGGTGCCCCGTGTAAAGCTAGGTACCATCATTCATAGGTTTGGCTGAACCATTGCCAACATCCAAGAAATTTTAACAAACAAACTCTGTGGCTTTTAGTCTGTAAGCGAACTATACTGACCAAATGACCGCCGCTTGTCAGGGAAGTTAATGCCAACTTTTGCAGATAGAGGGTTTCGCGTGGTCAGTGCAATGGATTCCCAAGGCCGTTAATCTCTGGTTTTCTAGACAGGAGCCGCTATTTTTCTGTTGAAATAGCTCCTCAGTTATCCTCGCGAGGCTAAGTGGATCCTGTTCCAGATCCGCTACTTCTCAGAAAATCTGGTAGCGCTGGGAATCGAACCCAAAACCTCTGGATCTGTAGCCAGGAACTCAGACCATTAGACCACAGAGGTGGTCTCCAGGAAATATTTATCATAGTTATATCTTGAAATAATGTCATGCTGCCTTACAATAAAGAAAGTCAAAAATAAAAAGAACTCATCTGTGATAAGTTAATACAGAAGTAAGAGTGGTGTGTGTATGATTCCCAGGATTGTAATTGTAATTAAGCTGACAGTTCTTAAATTCAAATCGTACTGTAGGGTACATCTCAGGTATGAAGAAGTATTAACTCATTTTGAAAGTATGGTAATACAGATTTGCTACTTCAGCAAAGTAAATAAGAGTTGTAAGAAATCAGTGATGTATGATTAAGAAAAATTATGCCACAAGAATGTAACATAATGAAATAACAGCGTTGGTTTACCATATTAAGTCTGTTCATAGAAACCACATCAGGAGCTGCAATCATGCAAGATTTGATGGTAACTATGAAGATTACGCTCTTGGGATGTGACACTATGTAGTGTGGTAAATTGTTAGCATCATTTTAGAGGAATATGCTGCCTCCATCTTCAGGAAAGAAGATGGAGGTAACAAATATCTTCAAAATGTTCATAATCTACTTGACTATACAGTGTCATCCCAGGAGATGACAATCTTCATGTTTAGAAAACCATAGCCAATTAGGTTGTATTCTAATTGTACAGCTTAAAATACAGAAGGCTTGTAGATTACCATATTAGGGCATAATGTGTGTGCTTTTACCTTTCTCATTCAGTGATAATGTCATATTCAGAAGTGAAGTCTTACTATAAAGTAACAGAAATGACAGTAAAGCATTTTAAACAGTTTTCTTGCAGGATTAAAATTTGATGAGGAATCAATATTTTTATCATTAACGTACCTAATCAATGAATCTTTGTAACAATGTTTTTATCTAACTTGATTTTTTAAAACAAACTGTCACATCCCGAAATTTAAATCTTAGTTGCTTGATCAAGAAATAATTCAAGATAATTGAAAATAATCATACAGATAATGCACATATTTGTTCCATCAACATAGCCTATACAGTTATAATTGACTTTATACATAAAATTAATTATGTGTTTTGACCTTGTCAGTTGCCATAATTTTTTTTTTTAATTTGCTTAGTGGGGAGTGGAGTCCACTCAGCACGGCGGCCACTGATGGGCCTGTTGTAGCCTGCCCTGGGTAATTATATTTGGTGGAATGAAGATTGGCAGGGGAAACCGAAGTACTCGGAGAAAACCCGCCCCACCACCCCTTTGTCCATCACAAATCCCACTTGACCAGACCTGGGATCGAACCTGGCCTGCGGCAGTGGGAAGCCAGCGACTAACCGCTTGAGCTATGGCACAGCCCTGCCATAAGGTTACAACATACTTATTTTTGGCAAAACTGATATTGTTCATACAGGTTTTGTTTACAGATTGTATATATGTGTATTATTCAAAGGTATCACAACATGTCGCTCACATAAAGTATTTCATATAATGATAACAATTTAATTACTTCAGAATATACAAGAATATTTAAGTGCAGATTTGTGAATCTGAGGTGTAATACGCTCAGGAAATTTTTCAGAACAATTCTTATTATTTTTATGATATTAGAACACTTATTCTCATTAGTGAAGTACATGAATATTAGATTGATGGGATGGTTTCATTAAAGTGATTAATGTATAGAACAATGTTGCAGAAGCTGACCGTAAATGTCTGTTGGTACTAGTTACCATTGATTTGTTTTGGCATTGTGTTCTCTGTATACACACAGATGACATGTAACTTAGAGTATTCTTCATATGAAAAAAGATTTATGACTAACACACATTCACACAAACAACATAACACAAGACTGGGAAGACTGAATTCCAGTGGAATACATATACACATTTTTCACTTATGTTTTCTGTATACTTGCACTTCTCATTCCTTTGAAGGAAGACATGAAAGCATTCATGGCCTGTAATATTTATAAAAACCTTCTTTTATAGGAACAAATATATTTGATATAAAATTGTATTTAAATCATTTCCAGAAACTTCTATTGCAAATATTTTTGCTCATATGAGCATTTAGCAGTATATTCATAAGGTGTGTTTTTGAAATTCATCTAGAACTTAAGTGATAATCAAAATTTGAAGCAGTCAAAAAATTTTAGTAAAACACTTCAATATGGGTCTTATTAATTTTGCATATTTTGAAACATGTAGACAGACATAGAAGTCCTGACTTACATATTTCTCTGCATCTGCAGTATGAGAGTTATTACAAATAGTGTGTACCACTTCCTTTATTGTTTTCTTAATTGTTGATTTTAGATGTGCTTCTGAAGATTAAAAGTTTTTGGTCATTCACAAATGCTTGGTGGTCTGTAAAATGTGGGCACTCTGAGCATGCTCTTCATCACTGCTTTTGATGTTAAGGTTGTTAAATAAACTTATGTCTTAAGTGAGAGATTTTGGCTTTAATTTAAATCAGTCATGGCTAGTCATCCAGTAAGGTGTTGAATACTCTTATGACACTCTTTGAAGACTTTATAATATCCAAGATGCTCCATGTGTATTGTGCATTGCTGACCACCCATATAGTGGATCTTGGCATAATCTTCGCAGTCTATCCTTCCGTTACCATCACAGTCCTGAAAATAAGATATACACATAACATACATTAGTTGTCTGCAACTTGGAATGAATTAGCAAACAGTTATCATAGCCTTGAGATTCGATATGACACATACATGAATCCTGTTATATCTCTGGCTCTGTGATGTATGTTAGTTGTGTGCTGACACTGTGCAGATGTGGCAGCAACAGAGAAATGATTTGGTCTAAATCAGTGATGACAGTTTTCATCCAGAAAAAGTAATTTGTCTCACTTCTTTTACTTAAAATGACTATTCTGAATTGTTATTGGATATTCTTAAATAAGTAACTAATAGAAAATAAATGTTAAGCTTAGAACTAGACAGATTAATATTCTATGCAACATCTGATACAATCACCTTGAATACTATAGTATCTGCATCATGGATTTTAGGACCATAACATAACTACCCCTCATTTCCTCAACATGTAAAGTTGGAGGAAGGATATCCAGGCAGTACTTTCAGAGCTTATGTGGACCTGATCCTGCAACACTTCAATCCATTCTCATTGTAATCTATTTACCACTCATTTGCTCTAATATTGTCCTCATAACATATTTTAGCCTTGTGAGCAGGTGTTTTCTAAGAATTTTTTCAACCAAATTAATTTTATTTTTGATTTCCTTCCAGGATAAATATCCATCCTAACCTGTATTGTTTTAACTACCCTAATATTATTGTGTAAGCTATATAAATCATAGAGTGTCTCCTTATGTGATATTTCTCACTTCCGACCTCTCTTAGGCACAGAAGTCTCTGTGCCCATGCAGGACACTATGAAGATGTATGCAGAGATGGAAGTAAATATCCTCTCATTCCTAATCACAGAACTAGACAGAAGTGAGTAGTCAGCTTCATGCTCTACACATTTTCCCATAAAGGTCACAAACACCAATACCAATTTTGATGGTAGGCAGAGTGGCTTTCAGAGCCAGTGTTTGAACCCGATTTATCATCATCGGCAAATCAGACAATCTTGTTTTCACTCTTGTGGATTTTGGAACAATAATTTGTTTACACAGCAATGTCATCAGCCTAGTGTCAAACCCCCATCCTGGAGGAACAGATATCTGTATTTATGTCTCCCAGTAATAGGGTGACCCAATTATAATGCTAAGCACAAAGTCTCATTTTTGTTGCCCTCTATGACTCGCAGTGCTGGTCGCATTACTGGCAACTGTTTCAGCTCATTTCTCATAGGTGCTAGAATAACAGGTTGTGTTAACATTTATTTGGGGAATTAATAAAAATGTTACTGTATTACAAGGTGGTGTATGGGGGAGCTCAGATTTGTGGACAGTTGTTCATCATGATCACTCTATGAAACTCATATGTTACTGGTGGGCAACATGGCCGCTATAACAGTACGGTGCAATGCTGCTGCCATCTCTACGCATCCTACATTAACTAAATTTAAAATGACCTACAGGACTGAGAGCACAATTGGTAAGAAGTTATGCTAATATAGCAATTATTTTGAGTGCTGGCCCCCCCCAACGCTTTGTTTGCTAGAATAGCAATAAATACTTTAACAATCAGATTTCCTGTACTGCAAAGGCTCCCCCCCCAACCTATTTCTATTTTTGATTTTTGAACTGTTCAGTATCACTAGTCAAAGAGGATGAGGTTGGCAGGACATGTAGCACGAATGGGGAGGCGAGGAATGCATATAGGATATTGGTGGGAAAGCCAGAAGGAAAGAGACTACTGGGAAGACCAAGGTTTATGGGTGGACAATATTAAAATGTATCCTAGAGATAGGATGGTATGGATTAGATTCATCTGGCTTGGGATAGGGACTAGTGGAGGGCTCTTGTGAACACAGTAATGAACCTTTCGGTCCATAAAAGGCTGGAAAATTCTTGAGTAGCTGCACAATTGGCGGGTTCTCAAGAAGGGCTCAGCTCCATTTATGGAATTCCATGTGAAGTCGTCCAGAGGTCGCTCACCATTTATAAAAAAAAATAATATCTTGTACGCTTATTTCTACATATTTTCACACTTCAAAAATATTTTTAACAAAATTGTAATCCTCTCGGTTCTCCCGGTTCAGCCGTTTTTATAATGCGAAAAAACGCGTTTTCGGCTGAAATGGAGGTTTGCGTTATCTCTCATATCTCGATAACCATTGAAGCTACAGACTCCAATAAGAAACCAATTTGTTCCTCATGAAATGGACTATAAATCATGTCATTACAATGTTTCACTCAGCTCACTTCCTCTAGGTCTAATTAAGCTCGAAGCTTACCTATCGATTTTGGGAAGAACGCTATTATTCACCTTCAAAAACCAGTGGGAAGTGGAAAGTATCAGATCTGTGGTTTCTACCCGTTGTCGTTTCCTACATGGGGAATGTAATCACATAGGTTGAACCCCGTACCTAGTTCCCAGAATTTTCCAGGAGTTTGAAACTTTGAACACCTCATAACTCCGGTGGAGAAGCTCCGAAAAAAATTGAGATTTATAGGAAATAATACTCTAGAATAGAGTAACCTACTTACTTACTTACTCATCGAGCTGAGCCCTTCTGGAGGAGCCGCCAATCCTGCAGCTACTCAAGAATTTCCCAACATTTACCGTGTTCACAAGAGCCCTCCACTGGTCCCTATCCTGAGCCAGATCTATCCAATCCATACCATCCCATCTTATCTCTCTAAGATCCATTTTAATATTGTCCACCCACCCACGTCTTGGTCTTCCCTGTGGTATCTTTCCTTCTGGCTTTCCCACAAATATCCTATATGCATTCCTCGTCACCCCCATTGGTGCTATATGCCCTGCCGACCGCATCATCCTTGACTTGATCATTCTAATTATACTTGGAGAAGAGTACGAATTATGAAGCTCCTCATTAAGCAGTTTTCTTCAACCTCCAGCCAATTCATTCCTCTTCGGTCCAAATATTCTCAGCTATTCTCAACACCCTCAGTCTGTGTTCCTCCCTTAACGTCAGAGACCAAGTTTCATACCCATACAGAACGATGAGGCTTATTTTGGACTCTATCCATCATCTGGTATGTATATGACAAAAAAGCCCACAACGTCTCTATCCTCAAGTGGATGAGGACCGTTAGAAACAGTCAGTCTCAATCACTGGACAAAAGACGGGCAGTAGAGAACAGCCTATAAACACCTGACAACAGGTTCCATCACTGGGAGATGAGAATAGCATCGCAATAAAAGACGAGATAGAACTTCTGTGCCAAGCATGCACATGTCAAAAATGTGATAAAACAGTGGTATAGATTAGGTTCCAGGAATCCATAAGGGAGAAATGTCCAAACTGGGCTGGCTGATCGGAAGTAACAGCAGGTTCAGAAAATATAAGAAATCAGCTCACATGACATGTTCAACTAATCCGATCTGCAGCCATAAACCAAGTCGTAGAATATGAGGACGATCGCAGAAGCTTGTAGCATAGTTGTTCTCGTGGTCTAGCGGTAAGGTACCGGCGTTGTAAAGCAAAGGTCCGAGGTTCGGAAACACCGAAATTTTTATAAATTACAAATAAGATTTTTCTGTTATTATAAGAAAAGATGTAACATAAGAGGAAGATTAAAAATAAGAAAACTTCGTGGTAAGGGTGGTGAGTGAGTTAATATGATTTTTCTGGTATTATAACCGAAGATGTAGTTTAAGAGGAAGATTAAAGAAAACAAATTGCAGCGGTGCTGGTGGCTTAGGGGTAAGACATCAGCTTAGTGTTCAGAAGGTCCCGGGTTCAAAACCGGTAGGATTTTTGTGAAAAATAAAATGGAAAGAAGTTAGGAGATAGAGTAAAGGAGGAGGGAGAGATAGAGGGAGGGACCACGGTGAGGGAAGATTTTTTTTTTGCGGCCGTTCATTAAGACACTCAACCTAAGCGGGTTTTATTAAAATCCACATGGGATCAAAAACAAAAAAAAGTTTGGCCCACCATCCGCCCACCAACCACCCGCCCTTAGGGGGTGACTTTGACTTATTCATTTGAGACCAAATTCTATGAGCGAGAGTTAGCAAGGAAATGTAATATAACTGCAGCGCATTCTGTTG